GTCTTCCCCGGTGGAGGTGGCTGAGCTCTGACACTGATGATGTGGCGTTTTCCTGAAGTTCTGCTGCCGTGTAATTACGGCCCCGTTAGCTGCTTTTTTACGGACACTTCTAGGTACAGGAAATGTCACTCCTGAAAACACCAGGAGCACAGGACAAGAAAATAGAGAAGAAAAAAAATAAAAACGAAGCTCTTCTAAACGAGCTTCATTAATTTACTTTTTTTAATAAAGCCTTTCCCTTCTGTACAGTAGATTGATATTTCTCTCCTTAAATCTTGTTAATAATACTTCTTTTCATTTACTACAAAGAATTATGGAACATATGGGTGAGTTTCATAAACAGATTTTCATTTTACTTTTCTACCTGTGTGTAAAGCGATGTTAAACTTTATTAATTTTTTATTGTTTTAAAATGAAATGTCCGAGTAATGTTGTGTAGTGTTGTGCAAATTAGTGTGTCTGTCTGCCTACCCTTCCCTTAATTGGGTATCTCTGTTCTCTGAATTCCAGATCTACAGTGGCTAAACACTGAAGGTCCTATTTCTCTTCACAAAGACCTTTGTGGAAAAGTTGTGGTGTTGGATTTCTTTACTTACTGCTGCATCAATTGCTTGCACCTGCTGCCTGATCTCCATGCGTTAGAGCACCAGTACTCTGATAAAGGTAAAAGTGCTTTGGCTGGCTTGGAATAGAATTTCCTGGCAGTGTTGCAGGCGGAGTAGCTGAGTCACTTTGTTGCTGGTTACTAAACAGCTGGCAAAATTTCAGGGGTGCCTAAAAATGTCTTCTAATCTTTTAAGTAGCCTAAAAAAGGTGACTGTGTATACTCCCATCGCATTTTTAAATGGGGTTAAACAAGGTATCTGTTGTGACTGCATAATTAAAGAAACAGGGTATGTGCTTAAAGCTCAAGTCTGATATCCTCATAAATAACGTTATTTGAAAAAAAGCTATACAAGGATGTAAGATACGAGCTCAAAGTTACTATACGCATGTAACCTGCTACACTTGGCGTAGGAACCAACACTGAGAAGAATATAGTAAAGGTGGTAGAATGGATATAGTTGAGATTACTTGTTTTTTCCATTCTAACTGAAATAACAAAATATGTAAGCTTGGTTTAGAATTTGTTTGGTATTGGCATCACATTATATACCATTAGTAGTCCTGTATTCTGGAGAAGGAATTAAGCTCTTTAAATTCACATCTGAGATGAAATCTGTCTCTCTGAGTGAACAAAAATGCAGGGTAATTACTATTTAAAATACAGTCTTTTGTCATCATGATGACTTGTCAGAGATAAGCTGTGGTTTTGCAAAGAATGTATCAGTTACTCACACGTCTTGGATATTTTAATAGACTGAACAGTGAGATGAAGAACAGTGTTACTTTCAGCCCTAAAAATACTGTATTAAATATATGTGTAGTAAATAACATTGTCTTATAATGTTTAAGTCTCTGATTCTCCATTGGCATTTCTGATTTGTTTTAATTTTGGCAGCACTTATTTTTCATGTGTTACTTTCTTTCACTAGAAAGAGAAATTACAATATCTTTGAAATATCAAATTCTTTAAGTAGTTCAGTTATATATTGTACATTTACATAGAGCTTTACAGAAGACTCAAACTAATTTTTTTACCTTGGAAAGCTTAACTCCTTGCTTTGGAGAAATTTGGCATCTGGTATCCTGTTTCAGATGTAAGGAACTTTAATAAGGAAAACTTGTCATGGCAATTTTTTGGGAGGGATGCGGTTTTAAGTGGAAGGTGATTAGCAAGTGAGAAATATCAGGCATGCAAGGAAGAAGGTCTAGATTGAGATTTCAGAAGATTACATTGGAGATACAATGAATAATATCTTTAAATGATAAATATTTTGTAGTATAGGATTATGGTATTAATATAGCTGTCATATTCTTAATCTGTTTTTTAAGACCAAGCTATTAAATCAGTTGATAACAAAATACTCAGTTTAACAACCTCTCCCCCCCCCCCCCACTTCTTTTTTTCCCCCCCCCCCCCGAGCTTTCTCTTTATTTGAACATCTCTGTACTGGTGTAGGAGAGGCTGCAGCACTCTGAACTGAACTGAACTGGAGGTCCACTTGGAGACATATCTTTTTGTTTGACTTGTATTAAGCTTCCTGTCATAGGAGTTATTACTTGAGAAAGTACTTTGATAGGTGATAAATTCTTTTTGCATTTGAGCTATCCTACTAAGTTCTTTTTGGATTTGAACTATCTTGTTCCTACAGGAACTGGAGTGAGAAAAAAGATGCTTGGGATGAAAGTAGAGGTAAAAGGAAAGACGACCGGGTGTGTGGAACATTAATCTTAAATTTAACCTGTTAGGAAACAGAGGGTAGCAGTTGAATTCAGGAAGAGATTAGGGTGCTTCATGGTTCAAAACAAAATTTATTTTTTTTTTTCACTATAGATCTCCCTTTTGGTTGTTTTCTGCTGTTTTCATGTTTTGATTGTCAGCCTTTTCAGGATTGTTTAATCTTTGTTGTGCTAAGTGTGTAAATTTTAGCATTATAGTAAGACGTATATCAAGGCAGTAAGGGTTGTGGGTTTTTAAACCATAGAGAAATACTTCAGTAGATGGTTTTATATCAGTGTGCATCTTCTTCAACAAAGGCAAACATGATTTACTGATCACTAGGAGAAAGAGGAGGGGAGAATCGTTGATTTGAGAAACTTGAGAAAGATAAAAGTTGGAAGAATAAAACTAAAGTAGAAAGGATGTCGGACATACCAAAAGTGCTTTAAGAATGTCTGGATATATTATTGCAGGTATTTTGGTATTCAGCCTTATTCTGGAGTTTCATTCTATTTTAATCTGCTTTTTAGTTAATGGAAGTCCCTTCTCCCTTCAGGAGATGGGGGACAGGTTCACTTTGGGTTGGGTTGGTTGCAAAATCTTTCAGCTTGTTATTGCAAAAACTGATTTTGGTGCAAAAGATGAGTGGCACGATTTCTTTTGGCAGCAGCAAGTGAGATTAAATATGTAGTGAAACTATAGCTTTACTAAACTTTAGATTTGTAAACATAGCATTTATTTGCACATCTCCTGTATATGTTTACCATGCTATAGAAGTGGCAGAGGGTACTGACATAGCAGACAGTATTAGTCAGAATGAAAACAGCCTCTTACTCTGACAAAGCATGTATCTCATAATGCATTTGGATCTTTAGTCTATTGTTTGAATATTTGAAGGAATGTTGCCTATATTTTTCTGTGTAACTAAGAACAAACCTCAATATTGTTATTTACAGCAATGTATTTTTTGATTGTATGTTGTGTACATACATTTTTGATACTCTGATATTTTAATTTTTTAAATGTGGTTCAGATGCCCTCTTATGTGGAGTATGTTGAAACTTCAGCAGTGTAGTCATCAGGCATGAGAAATCTGAACACAAGAAGCTGTAGGTTTAAGGTGATCCTAAACCATTATATATATCATTGTACATATGCACATGCTTCTGTTGTCTGGAACTTCAGGAGATGTGTTTCAAAATGAAGACTGCTTTCCATAGGATTAAATGTCGACTAGCATCTTTATCTGATATGTTCTCACTGCTATCTTCAGTGGTGCTATTTCTGTTTTTCAAGTGGCATTCAGAAAGTTATTTTAAACCCAGTGCATATTCAGTTCATGTTATCAGCAGTCCAGAAATGACTTCTATAAGAGGGAGTACTTTTTAATTCAGAAATAGCTTGGCATAAATCCAGCATTGTACTGCAGTGTAATTCTTCAGATAAAGCATTTTAAATGGTGGGCATATTCTTATATCTTAGCATAGCGTCCGGCAGTTTCTGCAAGAATTTTCGTCATCAGAGGATGTTATAACTTACTTGCACTGTTCAGGTATTCAGTGTAGAATTTTCTCTCTAGCTTTAATGATAATTTTGAAGGACAAATAAAAGCACTGCTGCTGATCCTATTACAGTTAAAATGTTTGACCTGCACTTTGGAGTTCAGCAGTTAATGATACTACAACTTCAGCTGTCTGATATTGCAACATGCTGTGTGTATAGGATTGATAAAGACTATCAGTCATAGTGATTTTAATTCTGTATCTGTGAAATTGTGATATTCAACTAAGTTTTTTATTGTGCAGCACTTTACCCTTTCCTGTTGTCACATTGAAATATTGCCATTCCTGCAGATGCTGCTCTTCTCCATTAACGTTGTTTTATGGTTGAGGAGAAGAGCTATTCTCTGTAAGCCGAATAAAAAGCCAACCTGACATTAAATTAGGGTTTTTTTAGAAGGAAGCAAACTTGTCTGAGCTCAATACAACTATTTAAGATCTGAAATAATTGCCTTTCTTACGTTTCTACCACAAAACCAGAGGTGAGGGTAGAACAAAGATGTCTAGCTAGCCAGATTGCACCTCTACTGTAAAGGTAGAAGAAAAGCATAAAAGTAAATACTACATTTCATTCCAAACCATGTCGTTGCATGCAGTTGTTTACAGCCATTACTTTTTGGGCCCTGGTTCAGGGTCTCTCTGATCAGAGGGCAGACTCCACTGGCTGTAACTGCAGGGCTTTTGGAGGACTGTTTTACAAAAGCATTTTATTTTTATGCATTTGCATGAAGTGAAATACAAATAGTGAAGCCCTTTAATGGATTAGGTAGTAAATGCCAAATAACAATAATGATCTGATATGTAAATTTCCAGTTTAGAATGAATTGTTGTGTGATGCTTAACAATTGATGCTAAATGAAATAAAATCTATAATATAGGTGAGTTATTGTGGGGAAAAAAGTACACTTTTTGTGGATTAAAAATTAAAATGCTAGAATGCTAAATAAATATTTGGAAAAATAATTTTATTTATGAAAATATTTTTATTTTAAGGAGAAAGGTGCATTATGCAAGCTGCGAAAAGTTATTTTGTGTGTGGTTTTCCTTCTCAGAGAGCTAACTCTGGATTTTGGTAACTGGAAGAGTGAAGAGAGAAAAACTAGGGAAAAGAGGGGTACTGATCTAGCAACTATGCGAAGCTAGAAGATGAGAAATAAATTTGTTAACAAGGTGATTGAATATATTTAGGTTATGTTTTGATTAGATTCCTGATAAACTGATGCAGTCCTTTCCTGTTCTAACAAATGGTCATATTTGAATGAGAAAAAATTGCCTTCTAAAAATTAAGTATCTGCTACTACAAGTAACTGAAACAGTTCATACTCTCAAGTCGTCTTAGCGCTTTGCTGAGAAAACATTTATTTAAAAAATTGTCTTTTCCAAGTGAGTGTCCTTTCAGGAGGGTTATTTCCATTGACTGTTGTTTAGGATAAAGCATAACAATATTGGAGTAAACACCAAGTAAGAGCACTTGCTTACTTAGAGATTCACATTGCACATCTGCCTCTATCCTGTATAGTTAAATTGTATCCTGCTTATCTAAATTTAATAGCTGTTCAACCATACCTATTTTGTCTGCACTAGCACAGTACAGCATTTTCAATTGTAATATTTGTATGATCATGGTTTTGTCTGATTTAAGAACCTTATGAAGTCCTTCAAGGATCTACAGTCATTGTATTTCAGAGTATAAGCATCATCAGAACTGGATTAGATTGGATAATGGCTGTTCTTCCTCCATGCCACTCTGTATAGACTTCAAGTCTTCTTTGCTTTTTGGTGTTGTATTACTGAAAAAAATATGATACTACAATCCACCTATAGATGTTGTTGACTGTAGGAAGGAAGGAAACTCCACAGATATTTGAATGTTACTGATAAAAGGGTTTATAAATGCTAAATGTTTTTATAGACCTGACTAAGTGGGGAGGGGAAGTAATTTTTGTTGTTGTTGTCAAAATAATTTCTAATACTGTGGTAAAATTAACTCAAGTTGGGTGTCAGCTCTAAAGGTATTTTTCTTTCCCATTTGATTTCACTCCTCTCTTCAAAATAACTCAAAAGATCAGATGAAAATTTAAAATTTTACTTGGGCAAAAAAGTAGAAAAATCCCAATTTTTATTTGTGGTTACAAAATGCTTGCGCTATCCAGAAATACAAATGATTTTTGGATAAGTGGTAAGGGTAATGTCTAAGGATTTCCATTAGATTAACAGTTCCAGTTTAAAATTATTATATTACAATTTTCTACAACTGCATGGTTACTGTGGTCATCATCCTTCAATTAGAATTGACAAGTTACTTTGATTATAACAAGATTATGCTTATGGCTAATAGCATTCTTTCAGTACAAAGTGAGACAAAGTATGGTATTGATACATACACAGTTTACTTCATTTGGTAGAGATTATGCTAGTAAAACATAACTGAGAGCCCTTAAAAAGGATGTAGTCTTTTTTTTTTGTCTTTTTTTTTTTTTTTTCCCCCCCTCTTTTCTTGCTCCCTGAAAAGTGACTTGCCTGAAGGAAGGCTCTTCATTCTTTTTCTGTTGGGTAGGAAGGGGGAGTGGAAAATTTGAGGCTGCTTACATAATTGTCTGAATAGGGTGGAAGTGTGTGTATTTCTTATCACCAGGGAAAAGCAGCTGAAGGCTGAGCCATAGATTTTTATTTCTGTGTTTGAATTTCATTAAGAAAATAAGTAAACAATTCAAGGAAGCTCCTAATTGTGTGCTTTTGATTGATTTTAGGGTTGGTATTATGTATGTAGTGTATATAAGCTGAATTATATAATTTTATGCTTATGCAGCACCTTCATGCTAGGATTTCAAGTGCACTTATCCCTGTTATGGGAAAACCTAAACTCTTCATTGTCTATTTTAACCAAATATAGAAATTAAACCTTTTAAGGAGACAATCAATGATTTAATCATCTTCCCTGCCCTCCTCCCCCCCGCTCTCCCTTTTTTTAAGGCAACCTGCCTGGTTTGTAACAAGTGCTATTTGTCATTTTGTCATAGTTGTCAGTGCTACCGGTTTTATTTGAAATACAGAATACTGTATTGATTTCAGAAGTCTTTACATATTTTTATTTTTGCTGTTCATCTAGGATTAGATATGCCAAGGCAACTTTGGACTTCCAGAGTTCAGTGTTATATTTGTGATTACTAGGTAACTGGAAATGGATTCATTTTCTAAAACACCATAGTTATGTATGGGAATGCAAAGACAAAGAGGTATTGTAAACATCTGAAAAAAACCAAAGTATCAGTTGAACTGATACAACTTAACCATAATTATTTTGAAAGTAATTTCTGCTTTAGTATGTAGAGGTTCAGGAACTAAGAACAATTTATGGCATATTAAATGTCAACCAGCTGGAGAAGTAATGGTCCTAAAGTTCAGTAATTTTACTGAAATGTTATTTCTGAGTTTCAGTATTTTGTATACATAGCTATCTATATTCCTACTGAGATGTAATTGCTTTTAGTTTGTTCAAATCCTCTTTCATTCTGGAAAGCAGTCAGTCACGTTGTGAGATAACTGCTTTTTTGCTTTTTTTATTCAAATATGAATATGTTTCAGTGCATGACTTTATTTTTCCTTTCAGATGGTCTTATTATTGTTGGTGTCCATTCAGCGAAATTCCCAAACGAAAAAGTTCTGGATAACATTAAAAGTGCCATTCTGAGGTATAATATTGTCCACCCTGTAGTAAATGATGCAGATGCAACACTGTGGCATGAACTAGAAGTGTCCTGCTGGCCAACTCTGGTCATTCTTGGTCCTCGTGGAAATATGCTGTTTTCACTTGTTGGAGAGGGACACAGAGAGAAGTTGTTTTTATTTACTTCTATAACACTGAAATTCTACAAGGAGAGAGGACAAATCAAAGATAACAACATTGGAATAAAGCTATACAGAGACTCCCTTCCACCTTCTCCTCTGCTGTTTCCTGGCAAAGTGACCGTAGATAATTCAGGAGAGAGGCTGGTAATAGCAGACACTGGACATCATAGGATTTTGGTTACTCAAAAAAATGGACAAATTCTACACACTATAGGAGGTAAGACTATATAAGTTTATTACAGTAATTTTAGTTTAGGAGTAGAGTATGTTTGCAGGGCCTGCTAGACTGATTCTTTTCTTAGAGGACCTAGCAGTTTATAAGCATTGCCAGAATTTTTTTTTCTACTAAAATCACTTTTACTGGATGTGGGTGATATAGTATAGTACCATCAATGGGAGAGTCAGTTAATGCAATTGGTTGAGATGTCTAATCTTTTTTCTTTGTTCCATTAACTAAAGTTTTTATTTTCATGTGATGTTTTTTGTTTGGTGGTGGTTCTTTTTTTAAATGAAGAGCATTTCCATACAGGATCCCCTTCTGGTTTTTAGAGGAGGGTAGAGCTATGAAAATAGTGCAAGTTAAGTTTTTTAACTTTAGTTACATTTGTTACAAAGTTTTTATTAGTAACTTTTCACCTTTAAAAACTAATCTCTGTAACCATTTTTGTAAAATTACTATCTGCTTTACATTGTAAATCAAGAAAACTTGCACACTCTTTGTATGCTTTGCTCTTTCATAAATGAAACATTCAGACTTGTTCTTTTTTTTAATCTGTTACAGTGATCAAAGTTACATTTTAATGCACCAAGTACATAGCTGTTAGGACAGTTCTTCTATGAGCAACCATAACAAATTTAGGAAGTGGTTGAATCCCCAAATCATTGAAAATGGTGGTTTTCAATGCTGTATGCTGATATGTCCTGTATTACTAGTCTGGTATTGAGTAATGCAGGTCCCATAGCAGGATTGATCCTACAAACCTCATAAAAATACCAGTGGCACTTGCTGTTTAAAGAAAGGAAGAAAATCTCTTGCTATTTGAAGTGACAGAGCATTGGACAGACAGACTAATTATCCAAGTTAACCTGGTAAAGGCCAGGTAAAGTAGTCTTAACACCCTTCTCCTATGGGAAGTACAAACAGGATTTCATGTGATGACAGTGAGAGAATTGGGTTTCTGTTTGATACGTGAGATGAGATCTCTGCCCACAAGCTACCCTTCAGTGCTCTGGGATAGTCATAGAATTATAGAAAGGTTTGGGTTGGAAGAGACCTCAAAGATCATCTAGTCCCAGCCCCCCTGCCATGGGCAGGGACACCCCCCACTAGACCACGTTGCCCAAAGCCCCATCCAACCTGGCCTTAAACACTTCCAGGGAGGGGGCCGTCCACAACCTCTCTGGGCAACCTGTTCCAGTGCCTCACCACTCTAACAATAATGAATTTCTTTCTAACATCTAATCTAAATCGACCCTCCTTCAGCTTAAACCCATTACCCCTTGTCCTGTCACTACACTCCCTGATAAACAGCCCCTCACCATCTTTCCTGTAGGCCCCTTCAGGTACTGGAAGGCTGCTATAAGGTCTCCCTGGAGCCTTCTCTTCTCCAGGCTGAACAATCCCAACTCTCTCAGCCTGTCCTCACAGGAGAGGTGCTCCAGCCCTCTGGTCAGCTTCGTGGCCTCCTCTGGACTCGCTCCAACAGCTCCATGCCTGTCTTGTACTAGGGTCCCCAGAGCTGGACACGATACTCCAGGTGGGGTCTCACAAGAGCAGATTAGAGGGGCAGGATCACCTGCATTAAACTGCAAGTCAGAGGGAAGTGTCCTAACCTCTGAACTGGTACCCCTTCTTCCTGCAGTACTCAGTGCTATTCCCTTCCTGAGGGTGTGCACCTGACGCTTACAAGGGGAACTGCTCGAGTCTGACACACCAGCACCTCAGTGCTTTGTGTCTGTTAAGGTCTAAATTGTCTTCTGACTGTAGGTTGTAAAAGTTTGTGTATTTTGGTGACTCAGTTAAATGATTCAGTGGGCAGAAAATAATGTAATGAAGTTGATATACAGTAATAAATGTGGGCATGCACAAAGGTTGAAATTACTATATTTGCATCATAAATCATGATGCACACATAACTCATATTAAATGTCTTCCGCTGACACATACTGCTAACGCTCTTTAAATGTTACTCCCTCTGAAACACGATGCTTACCTTCATACTGTTATATTCAGGTCATGTTCCTTTCTATTTGTTGATTGATTGTTGCAGAAGACTGTCACTCCATCATTCTCACTGTTCTTTTGTGTAATTAGTTCCGTGTCATCATCTTCCTAATTATTATTATTAATGAGAAAATGCTGCTAATCAGATATTAGTTTCATTCGTGATTACACCAAAATCTAAACCATTGAAAAGGAGTTGAGTTATCAAAATAAAATTTTTCTTGTTGGCTTGCTTTGATGTATCAGGAATAAAAAAACATGTAGTTTTTTATATCTGTCTTCTGTTGTTGCTGTTGTCCTTTGGTGCAAGGGAACAGGAACAATTTCGACCCCTATTAAGACTTCTGTTTGGAAGATGAGCTTAAAGAATCAGACAACTTGTGGAGAATGAGTTCAAAACTTAATAGCACCAAGATATTGTAATTACATAGCACAGTGACTAAAATGAGACCACACAAAATTATTAATAATGTAAACTGTACCAGGTGCTGTGAAATCATCTCTTAGCATATGTAATTCTCTTACAGGTTTAAATGTATACACTTTATTTTTAAGTGTTGGGTTTTGGGTGGTTTTTTTTCCTAAGATTACTTTTTAGTTTGCTTTGTTTCATTTATAGGTCCAAACAGTGGAAGGAGAGATGGAAGATTTTCAGAGGCAGCTTTCAACTCACCACAAGGGATCGCTATAAAAAATAATGTTATTTATGTAGCTGATACAGAAAATCACCTAATTAGAAAGGTAAATTTTCCATAAGTAAATTTAAAATTTAATCTCTTACACCCTGTTCTACTTACATAGGTGAAAATTTACACCAAACAAATTACTCCTTGAGTACCCTCGACATCAGGAAGAAAATTTGACCCAATATCTTATAAATAAATGCTGTTGTGCACTTTGTTTTTTTAAAGGGCTACATACACTTTTGTGCTTCCTTTCAAATGAAGATGATATGCACTGCTTGTTCTAGCATAGCTGATTTTTTTTTTTTTCTAGTGACTTTTACTTTCCTATTATGAGAAACAGCTATTCTTAGTGCTGGAAGCAAAAATGCTTTTTTTCACTTCCAGTATTATCAGATTCTTAAGGCCCAACTTAAATGCCTCTATGCAAACACATAGTATGGGGAATAAACGAGAGGAGTTGGAAATGTGCATGCCTGCAGGGCTATGATCTCATTGGCATCATGGAGACATGGTGGGATGGCTCCTATGACTGGAGTGTTGGAATGGAAGCATACAGGCTCTTTAGGAAGGACAGGCAGGGGAGACGAGGAGGGGTTGTCAGCCTCTATGCCAGTGACCAGCTGGAGTGCATGGACCTCTGCCTGGGGATGGGTGAGGAGCTGATGGACAGCTTATGGGTCAGGATTAAAGGGAGGGTGGGACAGGGGACATTATAGTGGTCTGCTATAAGGCCACCCAACCAGGAAGACCAAGCGGATGAGGCCCTCTATAGATAGATAGGAGCAACCTCACATTCACAGGCCCTGGTCCTCATGGGGGACTTCAACCACTCTGACATCTGTTGGAGGGACTGTGTGGTGCAGTCAACGTGCAGGAGGGAAGGGATGCCATCTAGAGGGACCTTGACAGACTTGAGCTGTGGGCCTGTGCAAACCGTGTGAAGTTCAACAAGGCCAAGTGCAAGGTCCTGCATGTGTGTCGGGGCAATTCCAAGCATAAATACAGGCTGGTGGATAGAGGATGGATTGAAGGCAGGCCTGAGGAGAATGACTTGGGAGTGTTAGTTGATGAGAAGCTCAACATGAGCTGGCAGTGTGTGCTTGAGGCCAGAAAGCCAACCAGATCCTGGCTGCATCAAAAACACCATTACCAGCAGGTCGAGGGAAGTGATTCTCCCCTCTACTCCGCTCTTGTGAGACCCCACCTGCAGTACTGTGTCCAGCTCTGGGGTCCCCAGTACCAGACAGACATGGAGCTGCTGGAGCGAGTCCAGAGGAGGCCATGAAGCTGATCAGAGGGCTGGAGCACCTCTCCTATGGAGAAAGGCTGAGAGAGTTGGGATTGTTCAGCCTGGAGAAGAGAAAGCTCCAGGGAAACCTTATAGCAGCCTTCCAGACCTGAAGGGGCCTACAGGAAAGCTGGAAAGGGACTATTTCAAGGCCAGGTTGGATGGGGCTTTGAGCAACCTGATCTAGTGGAGGGTGTCCCTGCCTGTGGGAGGGGGGTGGAACTAGATGATCTTTAAGGTCCTTCCAATCCAAACCATTCTATGATCCTATGATCATCTAAAGGATCCTATGATCATCTAAAGTTATTGCACTACTATGGTTCAGTGAATATCTATACTTCTGTTAGCTGTTTGGGTGTCTAAAGTACAGGTAACTGTTTTAATATCAGAATTGTCTGCATATGTATTTTTTTATTAAATGCCTACAAGGTTTTAAGCACGTAAGAGTTACTCTTTACATATATTGCCATTGGATCTTACATTTGGTTAGGTCAAACTTAGAATAATCAGAAGTTAAGTTGTTTGCAGCAGTATAATATTACCTTATTATTAAAAGTATTTTGTGTATCTTGGAAGATCTTGTATTCAGATGCTCACCAATACATCTGATTCGTGATCAGAGAAGGTACTTCCTTATTTAGTTTGGGGTGCCTTTGTACTGTTAAGTAGGTTCACTCTATGTTTCATTTCAAAGCACTAGTCCACAAACTCCCTGCATTCATTGTAGTTGGCTACCAGGTTTTATTCTGGAAAGGACCAAGGCTCGCTGTTGGTAAATAAACATTGTAACTAAAAATTAGTAATTTGCTCCAGGGTCCTCATCACTGTAGCCTGGTGACCACAGGAAATTAAGTGTTGCAGGTAGCAAAGACAGCACAGAAACATCTGAAGATCTGGATCATACTGCTTCAGCATTTTTCATTATAATTAGCTGTTCCCTTTCATCTAAATGTGCCATGAGGGTATCCAAGAATTTAAGTAAAACAACGACTACTGACATGCTTTCAAATGTTTGTGCAGTCCATGGGCCTTGCAAAAAGAGTGCCTTTACTGCTACAAAAGTTAGAAGACTTTATGTGTGAAAGACTCCCTTTTTACATGATCATCACGATAAATTCATGAGAGGTATTGGAAGTCACTTAGAAAACAAGCAAAAGGTGAAGGAAAAAGGTATTTAGGTTGCAGAAATGAAATAAAATAAAAACATTCTTTGCTCTAGGGCATGAAATAAACTGTAAAAATAACTTGCTTTGTACAGATTATTTTATATAGAGATGGGAGATGCTGTTAAAGTATCTGAATTTTTATGTCATATTCCTATAGAAGTTTAAAATAAAACATCCACATTCATTGTGTGAGTATTTCTCTAGAAAACTTTGATGCTTTTTTCTACAACTGCTGAGCAAACCTTGACAGAGCAGTGATAATTTTTATTGCATGTGGAGGAGAATACTAGGTGTGTGGCTTGCCTGCTGCTGCGTCCCTTTCTCCCCTCCCCTGCATCAGCAAGCATTGTGGTAAAATTAATTATTTTCCTACATAAACAAATACCTGAAATTTGTTAGGATTTTTTTTTTTTTTTGTCAGCAAAAGCTCTCTGTTTTTGACATCTAGCTCAAATTATTTGTAACTTCGGTCAAGTTAATTTTGTACGTTCAGTGTGTATAATTATGCTTCTTGTAGATTGACCTGGAATTAGAGATGGTGAGCACTGTAGCAGGCATTGGAATACAAGGTGTTGATAAGGAAGGTGGAGCAAAAGGAGAAGAACAGCCTATCAGCTCTCCATGGGATGTCATCTTCGGAAATTCAAGTATTATATCAGCTAAGCTTTTAGCATCTCATATTTACACATGCGTGACTCTTTGCTAAATGTTTCCCTCTTTTGGTAATAATCTGAGATATGAAAAAGTAAAAAGTTACTTTACAACTGAGTCTAAAAAACAGTGGTTTCATTTGCAAATGATAAGCACAGTTCTGCTTTGGATCCTGAAAAAAAGTGAACTGTTACTTGATGGAAGAAAAATTTTTTTGTACAAGTTATATAGTTACTGGGTCCAAATACAGAAGGAAATTGCAATTGCTTTGGTTAGGCCAGTGCTTTATGCCAGAATCACTTCAGAAGCAGCTACATTTTGCAGGAAGTGAACATGGTCTAGAAGTTCCTTTCCTTGACTATACAGACATGTCTGACCACTTGTAAATATTTGAGTTTAAGAAATAAAAATAATTTTAGTTGAGGACCTCTGTTTATTCCTGTTTAGGTGACATAAAATCATTAGACTCAAGATCATGGTAGTGTCAATCAGGTAGGAGATGAATACCTCAGGAAAAAAAACTTGCAAGCATCAGAGGGTAAAAGTAAAATCTTTGCATAATAGGATGCAAGAGTCAGCTTCTGAGGATTTAAGTAGCTTTCTTTCCTGATTCACTTAAAACACACCTGAGCTTGACATCACATAACTGCCATGTTTTCAGGTGTTATTAACTGAGCTGATACTCTATTTTCTCATGTTTCCATTGCAATATAATTTAGAAGTTGAAGGTACCAGTTTGTTAACAATGACAGAACAACACTTTAATGTGGCATAAACCCCTTAGGTCAGTATTTCAAGCGTAAAAATTGACTTCCAATATTGGGACTTCTTGAATCTGCAGATGAATGGGGTGGGGAAGTATCATGATTTAAGTCTAATATTTTTAAAATAGAGGTGCTTTGCAAGATTACTGAATTAGAACATTTTACTGACCTGGAAGCATTTGTTACCACCTTAGGACAGTTACAAGGGAGGAAAAGACACTCAAATTAACTTTGAGGGAACATGAAGCTAGTTCATAAATGTTGATTGTATAGAAGTTTTCTAGTACAAATATATTGTCAGTATAGGCAGCATACCACCAGCAGCGTTGACTATTTAAATAAGCAACTGGCATAAATTTTTAGATTTAACGCTTTTAGTAACATGTCTTTTACAAAAAAAAACCCACAACCAAAACAAAACACTTTTTTCAAAGGCTTTGTCAATAACCCTTACAATCTGTGTTAAGCATATGGAATCCTACTTGCAAGAGAAAGGAGGAGTATCAGAAAGAGAATCTTACTGGATGTGGGTTGCTATTAATGAAGGCGAGTTTTGCTGAATTTAATCCAATCTGATTTTCCTTTTGTGAACGTGTAGACTGTTGTGTGACTAGATGGTATAGTTTTCAAGGTATCTTGAACCAGCAAGCTGATCTCCGTGGGATGTTATTGCAGAGCTGTTTCACAGATCAGCAAAGGAGACCAACAAATCATCAGTGCTTCAGAAACTTAAGCTGGTTAACAGAACTATTCAAAATATCCTATAATTTTACTTTTCATTTTTCATGATGCTTTCTGTTTCTGCCAGTAGTTGAGTATCTATTGATAGTTCTTAATTTTGAAAGCTCTGCTTGTTAAATGTTAATTGATATCATTGTTATCAACATGAACGTAGTAATCACTGAATTAGTCACCTGTAGAGGATTAGTCATCTGCACTCTTCAACACTGACTGTTGAATTTTTATAAGTGTTTACATAAAAATCAGATCTTCTGAATGCACTCTGTACAGATGGGTATAGATTTTTTCATATTCAATTAGAACCTACTAGTCAATTATCTATTTAGTTCTCTACAAAATAGAATATAACCTGTCAGTTAAGAAGATATTAAATCAGTTTCAATTCCTTCTTTGAGAGTGTAATGGGCAAAATAGATAAAATGAAGGGGGGAGTGCTTTCAGTTTCTTCTTAAGATGTTTTTCTATGGTTTTGTGCGAGTAAAGTAAGCTAGGAAAAATTTAAATAACTATAATAGCTATATAAAATTCTTTAGAAAGCTATAACCAGAGAGAGTTGTCAAAAGGGGGGGTTATATTGAGTGGAGTGCTGACAGGAGTCTGTCCCAGAGCATGAGGAACCAGGACCGCGTCTTGTAGTCTGTAATGCATTTGTCTTACAGCATAGATACTGTCACGAGCTGCAGTGACTTCTTTAAGTTTGTTGCCAGACATCAAAATAGTTTGTCAACACTGCAGCTGAGTTTGACAAAGTTGTACTGTTACTGCAAATTGTTTGAGCCTAGTAGGATTTTGTGTTACTATCCAGTATATCATAGGATGCATTTCTTATTCAGTAAATGCATGCAAAGCACGGTTTTGTAGGAAATCTTCACTGGCCTCGGTGAGACTCAACCTTCTGTTGGTGATTCCCGGTGTGCTGTCCTACAAGTTGATACTCATTTGTCAGTATACTAAAACTAGTATGCCAATGTCTCTTTGTGCATTTGGAGGGATGAAATAATTGATGAGAGTTTCAAAAATTACTTCTGTTTGCATCCATACAGCAGTGCGCATTTTTTATGTATGCTTATATGTATCTCTGTGCAAGTTGCAGGAGGTAATGAACACTTCAACAACTTAGGGTCATTATTACAAAACTTGTAAGTTTGACTTTTGTGTTGTTGCATGGCATATGGGAAATAACATCGTACTTTCTATTTTTCCTTAGATCTATGTAGCTTAAACTGTATACAAGAGGCATTTTTTCTTTTCAGAAGATAGATTTATGGATTTTGTAGTTTTTAAACAAGTGATGCTTCTGTGAGTTTCATCTTAATGTCCAAAGCCATGCTAACCAGAACATGAAAGGGAGAAAAAAAGTTTAAATGTTTAAGCTGTTTACACTAGATAGTATTGAACAGCTTATGCTGACTTTTTTCAGAGTCTCAAGGAAAACGTTACCTCTTGAGAGAAAAATTTTCCTCTATCAATTATATTTCTTGAGATTACTCCTACGTAAAGAGTACATATTAATTTTAATTTAAAATTTTCATGTATAGTTTGTTGTGAAATTAAAAATCTTGAGGAAAAAAGTTAATGAGGGTGCAGATAAGTTAATACTCAGAACAGATACTACTAAGTGGCATGCTTTTAAGCATCCTCATAGTATTTCCGTGAGACAATAGGCTTTTATTTCCCCATTTTATACAGATGCTGAAGTCTGAGGCAAAGAGATTAAGTGACCGTGAAATACCATTTAAAAGAAAGTTGGCACAAATGTCTCCCTTTAAAGTAGGGGAGTTAATGGAGACAAAACATATGCTAGAGTTCAGACAGACAGTATTCTTCCTTGTCATCTTTTTTATTTCTTTAGTTGTGGCCACTGAGCTTGCATTTTACCCTCCCCATTTAAAATTCTTGAATGAACTCCATGGATTAAATTCTGGCTTCCTCGAAGTTGGTGCTGAAATTTGCATTGACATAGATTGTGCAGGAAATACAGGGGGAGGGCCAGCAGTTTAAAAATACATTATTAAATTACTGTGTGCTTTTTTAGCTTTCTCTGTTGTCCCCTTCTATTTTTATTCAGTGAGTGTTGAAAGCAAGTGGTACTTAAATGCACAGTTGATCTGAGCGTGAAATGTTCTTGATAGCTGCATTCTTGCAGGAAGGAACAGGACAATGACCTGTGCTTGGTGACATAACTCTGTGTTTCACATTCCAAAATCTGGTCTTAAATTGCATGATTGTAATCTATTTATAGAAAGTCCAAAGTACAGTATTGACCATGCTTTTGGTAAACTAGTTGGAAATTTGTACGTCAATTTAGGTCTTACATAGATATTATTTAAATGAAAGTACAGTACCTTATCATACTGGTACAATTTTTATAGGCCTTAAAAGGCAAAGATATGTAATATTTTTTTCTCTCTCCGTGTTTCTGGTAGAGGATTATTTAGTACCACTGCATTCCAGAGGAAACACTTTTCTTCTGAATCACTCATGGTGATTCTTCCCTAATTTTACAAAAAAATAAAGCAATAATAACTTCAGCAATAAGCAATTAGTACTTCCTGGTGAGCTCAGACCATATCTGAACTGTTTATGTCTTAACTGTCTGTATCTTGAAAGTATGCTTTCTACATGTCATTTTTCTTTTTCCTTCTAATCTGGTCTCATTCTGGCATTGAGGCCTTCACTGTCCTGTGAAAGGAATTTTCCTTAGTAATAGCTGAAAATAAAAGGCCTGCTTTTGTGATCATCAGAGATTTATTTGGAATCATTTTTCTGGACAACTCAAAACTTGAATTACTCTAAACATATGTTGCATATGTAATATGACTGCATGTCTTAACATAAGGATGTAATGGGAGTTGTGACTGAATATCCAACAGTAATCCCACACAATTTAGTTTGACAAACTACGTTTCTAGTAAATTGGACTTCTCTACATCTTAACAAAATGGAAGATGATGATGACTTTCTGCAATAAAAAGAAACATTTGGATTAGCAGAATTACCATCTTAACAGATGTCAAACTTAAACATTTTGAAATCCATGACTTGAAATGCCCTCTGTAAAAAAATATGGTATTTGTACCTAGAATGATAATTCCTTATTCTCTTTGTTCCACAATTTATAGTCTTGTTCTATGAATTAAATGCATGCTCATGATAAAGAAGTTAAAACTAAAAAACAGATTTCTAAATACTGGTTCAGGTATCAGATACTGTTTTTAATGCAAAATTCCAGATGCAGCATTGCTGAAAATAAACATCCTTAACAAGTCTTACAGAGACTTCGTCAGGCATGCTACAGTCAGAATGAGACATAGTTTTTAACTGTTCTCATTTGACACTGAAAGTGCTTTTGAATATGGAACGTGGGTGTTCAGGGTCAGGGGAGATTGCAGTGCGAAATACCCTCAAGTGCATTCATTCGCTGTGCCTAAATTGGAACGAATGAAACACATAACCAGACTTAACTTTTCTATAGCTATAATGATGTATCCCAACACTAAATAATCTAAATTAGTTGTTCCATATTAACAAACACTAGCATTTCTACCTTGGATATTTTTAAGTATTTACTGCCATTACAGTTGCAAGGCCTGAGTTAGAAAACTTGGGAAATGATTATAGTCATCATTTTTAGCTCCCGTTTATCTCCCATTGGTATCTATGTCCAAGGATTTATTTCACTTGAGAGGGCAGGTATGTTAACTAAGGAGGAAAATTCCGGAAGCATTTTGTTTCATAAAGGGTTATGCTGTTTGCATGATGCAACGCTATGTGAAAGAGTGACAGGAAAAAAAAAAAGAAGGTAGCATGGGAGAAAAAAAAAAGAAGAAAATTAATTTTTACTCCTCCAAAAAGGATGATGTGTACTTGTAACAGTCCAGACTTAGGGTGCTAAAGCATTCCTTTGAGGCTTTGCTATCTCTGTCTCACTGAAGAACAATGATTGTAGTTGTTTCATCAGTCAGGTTTGGATTTAATTTGCTAAACTTCCACTGACTTAAGACGAGACTTGCGTTCACGTGTGCACATAAGCAGCGTGCTGTCTGTAAATCGGAGGACGTTTTATATAGCCCATTTTGCCTTGTGTTTTTGCAGAGGATGAGTGTACCAACAGACTTCTTCCTTGTTATTTCTTTTTTTAAAGATAAAATTAGTAGACAGGAATAATATTTTCAAACTTCAATCTATTTAGAAAATGTCAGTGGTGCCAGCCATAAAATGTAACTTTGATTCCCAGGCTTTTAATTCCCAGACTGGAAGCATGTGGTCCCCAGACAGGGAAGCTGCAAGTGTGGGTAGTCCTGGGAATGGAATCTCTTCAGACAGATACTGCTGTTGACTGGTACAAAATAAAGTCATTCCTGTGCATTCAGATTGACTCACAGTTAATGGTCAGCAGTATTACTGAACTGTTTAAAGTTGTGTAGATGTTCAAAGAGAATTCTTAAAACACAGATATACAGCAGAGGCACATTCAGGAACTTGAAAAGCACTGAAGCATCATATAATACAGAATGCCAGTGCATTCAGAGCTCCAGTTCATTATTAGTGAAGCTTTATAACATAAGCATATCACATTTGCAATCCATACTTTGCTTTGATATAGGCAGCACTAAAGATAAGAAAGCACATACCCTAATAAGGAGAAACTACACTGGATTTTTAAAACAGCTCAAGATAGGTTGGAATGTGGTGCTTAATTGAATAAATGTAAAAGAATTGCTTTGTTCTTTTATGTTGTTTTATAATAAATTCTTTAAAAATAAATTCTTTCCATTCAAGGGTGATAAGGAGTTACGATAATGATGGCATTACCGTAATTTTAGCATGCTGGTTCTCCCTGGCTGCCCTCCTCCTGCGAGAACAGTACAAGGATGACAATGGTGACATGTCCTCAAACTGTTCATTCCTTAAAGAAGAGGTTTTTCTGTCTTGTGTTTCAGAACATAAAGCATTAAACTCTGTAGTGTCAGGACCATTGTGTGATTAAAAAACCTTAGCTGTGCAACTATAGACATTGTTTTTATTTTTCTGGTTTTGTATAATTTTTTTTTATTAAAGTTCTGGTGTATTTTCCACAATTCAGTATGCTTATGCTGTGTCACTGCTTGCGTCCATCCTCTTTGTTCTAATTGCCATCCAGTAGAAAACATTTAAGTTGCATTAAAATTTATGATGGTTATGGAGCTCTTGCATATTTTTTCTGTCTTGTTCTCTAGTTGGAGAGGATCTTCTTTCTATTGATCTTACATAATCAGCATAATTTGAAATTAATACTGATACTTTCCTCCTGTGTCTCATATTTGATAAACCTTTCAGTGTGTAGAATTAGAGTAAGAAACTTTTTCAATGTAGAGCTGTCACAAGGGAGTTTTCAGTGAATGGAATTAGAGCATTGGACAGATGAAGAATGGAATAGATTTTTCTAAAGTGCTTGGTTCTAGTCTTACGCCTTCGTTTCATTGGTGGATGAAGTGAATATTAAATCCAAAGCACTTCTTAGATCCCTCAGAATGAACTTCACAGCATAGCAAGATAATAAGCTCACTTTCTGAATTAACCAGTGATTTTAGCATTGTTTGTTCAGGGGCACTCAGAATAGTGGCATCTGAAAAGTGCAAGATAGGCATCATAGAAACATAAAGTCCTGAAGTTGAAGATATGCTATATCAGAAGCAGTGAAACTAATTTGTAGGCCATTTTTCAATTTAAATCTCTCAGAAACAAGCTCTAACCAAAGGTGATTCTGTGGATTTTTTTGGTTTGGTTTGGTTGGGGTTTTTTTTATTGGGATGTTTTTGGCATGGCCAGTACTTTGGGAACGTCTCTGGTGACTCATAAAACGTGTATTCCAACTCATTTTGCAAACCTTCCTGCTCAATGAGAAGCTTCTAGGTGCTTTGGAAGTTTGATTTTTATTCTTGGAGCTCTAGTTTGCGTCGAAACATGGAGCCACGTTGAGGTGCAGGAGAGAGTCAGCAGACTTCCTTTGATCGCAGTCTTGGAAACTTCTGTCTTGATCCAAGAAACAGAAAAGGCTGAAGATAAATGACATTAAAATCATACCTGTACTACTCTGAAGAGAGCTCACAATATGAGGAAATTGATTCTGGAGACAGAAGGATGCTACTTTTTCCCTCTCTCAGTGTGCAGGTTTAGGATTAAAACAGCAGCAGCAGGATCTCAGTTGGGGGACTAGTGGTAGTTTCATTTTAGGAAGATTGATTTGGACTAACTTCTCAGGTGTAAAATGCTTGCAAGTATTTTGTATATAATTGCTTTATTATGGAACTCCAAAAAAGGGCCAGGAAGGGAGAGGTATCAATTAGATTGTTTGCAGAAACAGCTATGAGCTGCGTAGTGTTTTATAAGTTCATGTGAATAAAAGGTTTCTGTGAGCAATTTGAAGGTATTTTTCTGTTGACTGGCTAATAGTGATTCCAATACCTGATACATTCATTTAGAAAAACATTTTAATATTGTCTCTGACTAGACAGGACAGTTGTATACAATTCTATGTATAGACTAGTACAGAATTAGAAAGATAATAGTGTCCCTATTTTAATGCAGTTTTTAAATGTCAACTTTCTGTTCCTTAACATTTTCCAAAAAGACTAAGATAAGTAAATTTTGGTTGGGTTTGGTTTGGGGTTTTTTAATGGTCTTTCACTGCTTGTCTTCATGTGTTCTTTCTTATGCTGTGATGCGTTTAAAGCTATAGAGCATTTATATTTTTTTTTTCTTTCCATTTGTATCACTTTATTTGTGAAGTATTATCTGGGCAAGTGTGTAATTTTACAGATTTGGTTCGGTGAATTGCAGTGTTACACTTTGAGATGACACATTTGTGATACCACATGTACATGTGCACAAGGAGTACAACTTCAAAAATGGATTATTAGTACAGGGGAAAATTAGTAGCTGCCCACATCACATCTAATCTTTGAATAAACAGCAGTTGTTGCTCTCCAGAGAGTAAATCTACATGATACCCAAGCATCAGTTACCCTTATCTTAAAAACATTATGTACTCTGTACATATGTAACATTATGTACTCTGTACATAATGTAACAAAGGTACTGCCATTATTATTTCCCTCAAAACCTGTATACAATTGCCAGTAGTTTTTTGGAATATCTAATTTTGTCACTAGCTTAGTAAAAAAAGCCCTACGCCCAAAAAAACCATGCTTAGCAAAGATATGTACATATTTGCTGGCCAGTATGAATCCAAAAATAACAGGTGTAGCATGGACCCAATACAAAGTGTTGCAAAGAGTAAATCCCATTTGAAGTATTGCCTCTACCAGGTAGGGATATTAAAACCACAATTTTATATTCTTGGGAAGAGTACAGAAGAAAAAATAGCAGAGTTCTTGGTAGATGATAGACATTCTCTCTCCTTTTTCTCTGTTTTTTCATTGTGGGTTTGGGGTTTTTTTTCCACATGGCAAAAGGTGAGCAGGAGCAGGGTTGGTTTGTTGATTTCTTTCTTTTATAAAACATTCCCAAAGATATTTTTTTTAATCTGTTTTTACACATCCATTTTTTAAAGTTTCAGGGACTCAGGAAGACGATGTTTTATGGATAGCAATGGCAGGCACTCATCAGGTATGGGCACTGATGTTGGAAGGTGGAAAACTACCAAAGGGAAGGTAAGCAGCTGTAATAAGAGACATGTGATATTGCTGTTTATCTTGATAAAGAGCTTTCAAACCTCAAAGAGAGATATAATCAAATTACACTAAAAATAATTTTTCTCAACCTGTACTTAGCTTGAGGCTTGCTGCTTCTGTTCAGACTTAAAAGGCGTGTGTCCTTTAAAGTCTGCCTGCTTTTTCCCACAACTGTTAGATTAAATGAAAGATGCTACTTTTGCTATAAAACTATGACTTGGTATGGTACATTTGTATAATTGAATGTTACTTTTCATTGCATTTGCTGAATTATCTAGTGATGAATGATAAACTGATGTGAAATAAAAGTTAGCACAAAGGCATTGAATAATTCCTTGTGCTGCAGTACAGTTGGTTTTATAACTCAAAAGTGCTTGTCCTGTAGCTTCAGTTTATGCATAATGTCTGAAGTATTTCAAACCCATTTTTGAACCTGGGTACCATTTCTCTTTAGTGATTTAAAGAAAGGAGTCTGCCTTCGATTTGCTGGGAGTGGAAATGAAGAGAACAGAAACAATGCATACCCACATAAGGCAGGCTTTGCACAGCCTTCAGGTCTCTCTCTGGCTTCCGAGGAACCATGGAACTGCCTTTTTGTAGCGGATAGCGAGAGCAGCACTGTGCGAACCATCTCTCTGAAAGACGGAGCAGTGAAGCACGTTGTAGGAGGAGAGAGAGATCCATTGGTAATCACTTCAAACTTCCCCACACTGCCCTACTAATATTCCTCAAGCCTGACGTGGAGGAACCACTTTTGGGGTGAGAGGGTAAATCAGTTTCCGTGGCCATCAATTTCTTAACTTCACTGCTTGGAATGCAAATGTGTGCCAGTTGTGACTCTCAGGTTGTAGTGCAGATTGTTGCTCCTTTGATAACAAATTACTTCACATTATTTTTAAAATAGCCAACTTGATTCAGCATTGTCTGGTCATTAAAGCCAGCTGGATTCATATTGATAACTTAAATGTGAGAGTTTCCATTTCCATGGTTAGCATCCACACTTCCCAGTTTTCAGTATCCTTGTTTTGAAGGTGTCTCGATTTTTTTTTTTTTTAAGTCAGTGAATTTCCATTTAATTACAATCATTTAAATTCATGCCAACATTGAATAATCAAATGTATTAATTTAATGAAATACTTTTTCAGAATTTGTTTGCCTTTGGTGATGTGGATGGAGCGGGCATAAATGCAAAGCTGCAGCATCCCTTAGGAGTAACATGGGACAAGAAAAGAAAACTGCTCTATGTGGCAGATTCCTATAATCATAAGGTAAGCATATAGTAGCTTTTTATATACAGGCTTTGTAATCTTTACTACTATGAAGAATTATTTTAGGAACATACAAAGATTGTGCTTAGTTCGGTTAAGCTGAGTAAACAAATGATATGAGTTCCTTTGTGGGTTCTTTTTCTTTCCTTCCTTCTCTTATGGGTCCTTCTCTTGCCATTGTTTAGTTGTCACATGCTGCTGTGTTGATATGATGGTCCATTGGGGAAGGTGAATTCAGAGTGCCAAGTTACAGTTCAGAGTAAAGACCCTTTCCTTATATCTTTCCAAAGATGCTGAGCTAGAGCAAAAAAGCAAGGATTGCTTCATCTAGAATTCTGCCGGTTTGATAAAACTGGGAGAACAAGAGGACTTGCTTTTACTTTAAAAAATCTACCCAGGCTTTGAGAAGTATTGTGGGTTGTCTGCATAGAATGCTGAGATAAGATAGATTCTTCTGCATGATTGTTCTTATGTGATGTCGTGTAAGCTTTCATGTCTAGAAGGATGTTAACATGGGTTAAATGCATTAAAAGAAAAGTAATATGTTTTAATTTAGGAATAAAGCGTATAACACTACATGTTTATTGAAATTTCTGTGGCAAATGAAATTTTGTTTCAGGTATTGTATAAAACACTATAAAGTTTTCTGCTATTGCTTTAAGAAAAAAAACACCTCCTCTATTTTTAGAAAAGAAAAAAAAGATAGAAGTTTGCCTGCCAGTTTTGTTATGCTCTTACAATTTTGCAAATGTTTCCAGAAGGGCACCAAACATTAGAAAAAGAAGCCACTCAGCATATTTTTATACCAGAGAGGTAGGTGCCTTCAAAATTATGAAAGCGAACACTGAATGAAGACCAAAGGGAGAAGTAAAGTCCAGCAGGGAATGGGGGAGGGAAAGATGGGAGGTGTCATTTGGTAAAGTATGATAACGTAGCTTCTATGACACACATAGAAGGTGCTTGAAGTTAGCGCTGGCTTCTGAAAATGTGGGGCATAAGATAATGCAGAACTTCAAAATCCTGGTGGGGTTTTTTTCAGAGAAATTTTTTTGTGTCTTTGTTTGTATTAGATTAAGGTTGTAGATCCCAAGATGAAGAACTGTGCTACCCTGGCAGGCACAGGAGAAGCCAGTAATGTTATTGGTTCCAGCTTTACACAATCAACTTTTAATGAACCAGGAGGTCTGTGTGTTGAAGAAAATGGTCGCTTGATGTATGTTGCAGACACAAATAATCATCAGATTAAAGTGCTGGATTTGGAAACAAAAATTCTTTCCATGGCAAGTAATACTTATTAAACAGGCTGATAGTGGTGTTTTTTGATATAAATTACTATTACAGACTTTGGCAAGTGATATGAAAATCATATAGCTAATAAACTTTTTGGGTACAGTAGCTATATTCACAGAATGTTTTGTGATGATCTGGCAAATAAGCATTGCCTGTGAGCACAGTTGCTGAAAAGTCTTTGGAAAGGCAACTTTTGCATGAAAACAGAAAATTGTGATCCTCTAGAAAAGAACAATACAGAAATGTAAGTTATTAAAAAATACAGCCCAGTTTTTCAGTATGAAAAGCATTTCATGAACGCTTGCCAACTCCCTTTGTAACAAGTAGAAGTCAAAATATTTTACCAAGTCTTGTACTTAAGCCGTAAGAGATGATTTGGGGAGGTCAGTGGCTTAAAGTGGGATACATAGCAGGCTTCCAGGTTGTCAAATCAAAACCACGGTCAATTGAGCACTGCTGTATTTGCTTATAAACATGAAGGCAAAGCAAATTCATGCTCCTGTCCATCTTACAATGGCACTATGTCTTAATGTTTTCATATGTATATACATATCTATATATGTGACATAATGGTCCAACTGTCTTCTTGTATGTTTCTTCATTTCAGTAGTACATGATCTTAATGTGTGTTTAAATTCTCATGTCATATAACATGTTGGTGGCTTTTCTGGGAAATTATCCTTTACTGTGCAATCTGAATTATTACAATCTTAGATTTTATTACCAAAGTATGCAGTTTACCACCAGCTTAGAAGAAAATACCTATAAATTTTATTTAAAGTAAAAATATAATGCAACTGTTAAAATTTTAAATTAAAGTACACTTTAAGTAGTGGATACTCTAAATTAGTTGCGTATTTTATGATTTTAATAGCAAACATTTTTTTTATGTGGATTAATCAGTTTTATCTGTTTCATTTTAAAAAATAATTTTGTCCTTCCCTTTTCATTTGTCACTGTAGTATTGTTGCACTCTGTCAGAAAGTTTGAATACAATAGCCATATTATCATGTGTTAGTTTTCCTTGTCCATGTCAGCTTTGAAACTGTGATTGTATTGTGAAAGCCTATTTGCTTTCGGTACAAATAAAAATAAATATTTTGTTCCATTTCTACTCGTAGTTGCCTATCCTGAATCCAGAAACATGCGACGTTCCAGATAACCTGCCTGTGCAAAAGGATAAAACAATAAACCTTCCAAAACTGCCTAAATCTGCACCAAATGTTCAGCTTCCTTCACTAACTGTAGCTCCTGGCGAGACAATTCAGTTTTTATTAAAGTTGACTCTTCCTCCAGATTCAAAACTGAACGAAGAAGCACCCAATTCCTGGTTTATCACAGCAGAAGGTAAAGTGCCTAAGTTGTTTTATCAGTTGAACAGGAGCAGATAAGGTACAAAGTGGGTTATATCATGACATGCCTGCAATACAAGGGATCTCAGTCTGATGAGTCAAAATGTCCCTCCCAGTCCTGTTTCCATTTGACCTTGTGATGCAATACGTGTTATTTAAAGTTGATGCATTTAACAGTTGGAGTGCGAAGATTTAAAAAAAACCCACCTGGTAGGCTGCTTTTTGCTTGAATTAGTATATGCTGCATTATTTATATAATTTTTAACTTTCTTGGGACAAGCTGCTAGTGAGGGCTTGCAGAGGTACTGATCCCCCTTAGATGCTTAGCGCCCTCCACTCTGTCTGAACAGCTCATCCCAGCCGTACCATTCATTTCTGGGAGAAAGCTCACCATGAAGCTGAAGCATATTCCTGAAAGAGATTCCTTTTTTTTTTTTTTTTTCTCCTTTTATCTCTTCCAAAAAGTATTTGAGGTACATTTATACTTAACTGCTTTGAACTACTTTGTTATAATTAATATTTGCATATTTCTGCTTGAATATTTTTATAATAACACACACTTTCTTATGTAACAGGTAAATTATGGTATGTCAAGGCAGCAGAAATAATTGGCCTTTCTTGCAAGTTCTTTTGCTGACTTCCTGTGTGACCTTGGACAAATCTTACAGTTGCTATGTACCTTGGTTACTGTGAAATGGGAATGTTATTATTATATTGGATTAATGGAAATATTATTTCATGTTATGTCAGTTTCCTGAGCTTAAATTAATCTCTCTCAACTCTTAAGTATTTTAAAAGAGCACATGGAACATGTTCATGTGGTGTGTGATGTGCAACTGGAGTGGTTTAATTCTAGACATTGTCGCCATCCTTACGCTGGAGATTACTATGCCCATAACATGACTGGTAGCATAGAACGTGTGAGTGTTCCCTAAAATTCTCTTCAGTACAAAAATAGCAAGATTATCTGAAATGCCTTCTTGCACAGGCTGACCATTAGTGGGTGTTCGGGGACAGTACTTTCCAGTGGTCTAGCTGTACCCAAAAGGGAGAATCTATCCCTGCCCTTGGAAGTACTATATGAAAGCCAATATAAAAATTAACCCATATGTTTTCACATTCATTGTGTATTGAAACAGTTTTACCTTGGTTTTGAGTTACTCAGGTGTGACTCATTTGCTTTCGGTTTAATACATTCACACTGTAGAAGAAAATCTTTTATCTCAGGGGAACATCAATGCTTCTAAAAAGTATCCTATAGTAGGTGCTGTGTGCCTAAGTAAAACTGCTACCATAAACTAGTGTTCTTGAAGGTGAAGGGAGGACACTTAGCATTCAGGCTCTCTGAAAATCTTCTGAACTTTAAAACACATTTTCTGTTAGACTCTAGGCACCCCAAAGTAAGTGATGAACGGTACAGAGAACTGTTAGCTTTTGGAGGAAGTGAAAAAGCTATCTATCTACAAAGCCAGTCTAGAGCAGAGGAAAGTTTAACTGGTTGTTTAATGAGTTGCTGAACAGTTTTAAAAAAAAAGCTAGAATGTCCTAGAATGTCATTTTCTTTAGTTTTTGTGTTAAGTTTTTGATGTTGATATTGCATCATTTGCACCTTTGATAGATTTTTTTGAAAGCAATAGAATATTTATATTTCAGTTATGTTCACTCAGTTATTGCACTGCATTGGAAAACATTTATTTTTAGAAATGCTGCTGGATTTTAAAATTATGCTAACTTTTAGTAATTGTTTTCTGGCTGAATTTACATGCCATATTGGCTTTTTTAATGATAAATACTTGTTAATAGTTATCCCTGCTTGTAGATGCAGTTAAACTGAGCTGAAAGTAACTATCTCCTTATCTTTAGAATCCTCTTTTGTTGGCCAGCTTTCAAAGTGTCCATGTGGTAGCTTAATTAAATTGATTGCTTTTTAAAAGCAGTCAACAAATACTGTACAGGCACTGCAATTTGTTTATATACCTCATGATTTAAAGTAGTTTCTCATTCCGGTTTGTGCTTTTGGAGTACAAATAGACTATTTCCAGGAGAGTCAGCACACTTCTTGGCCTACAGAATCTCCAAATGTTGTCGAAGTAAAGATATATGTGATAGCTTCAAGGGTTAGTAAAATTGGAGAATGTAAGCAACTTAAACTCAATAAGTCATTTCAAGCTCATGAATTCTAGAGCCAACTTTTAGATATTCTCTGAAAAATGCCAGAAGGAGCACTTCATCCATCTCACTGCAACGCAGAGTAGAATGCAGTGAGCTATGTACGTTTATTGTGCAGTTCATTTTTTCGTTCACATACTCTTAAACATTTATTTAAATATGAAACTCAAATTCTGTTGTAGCAGTCAGCCTGATCATTGTTAAATTGCAGCAACCCACTTGTAAAGCCAATACTTCTGTTTGGAAATGCCATAATTTACCTGAAGTTTTATGCATTTACGGCAGATATCTTACTTGGAGTATTAGACCTCTGATACAAATGTGTGGCAGCCCATTAATTTAGGGAGTTTTGCTAGTGTGTCTCAGGAAAAAACCACAACACCCTTCTTAAGGGTGTATAGGATTGCAGATCCATTTCATTTAAATAAGATGTGTGTATATATATATACACTGTATATATACCTATAGTTCTAAAGCAAAGCCATGGATTGCTTCTTCTTTAAATGACTGCTAAAGAAGCATTTGTAAATGGCTTCTCCCCCGCCCGCCGACTGGAAAAGTCAGGAAGGAAATTTTCCCTCATGTTGTGCTATAGGAAAAAATAGTGTTTTCTGTAGGTTTCAGGCATGGTGTTAAATATCCTAATGATAACATTTGTTCGTATTTTACAGATAATACCTGGTTGCTTCAAGGACAGTGTCTGTCTGGAGAAATAAAGGATGTTTCATGTCAAACTATCATTCCCTTTCAGTTACCCAGGAGCTGTCTGTCCACTGAAGCTATCCTGGCTGTCAAAGCATGCCTCTACTATTGCAGCAAAGGTAGCAGTGCCTGTATGATGAAAGGAATCTCATTCAGTCAGCCTCTGCAGATAGCTAGCACAAACCAAGGCAGCTCGACTCAAGTTGAACTGATACATGCGTTTTTAACTAACTAACCCAAAGCCAGCTAATTTCATACTTGATTTTACTCTCCACAATTTCTGAAGGAGAAAAACCTTTCTCCGTTGTTCATTTTCCTGGAGCTTATGACAAAGCTAATAAATAATATACTTGGTAAAATGAAGTAGTTCCCTACAGCTTAACATGAAAATTTATCATCACGACCTCATTTCTTTTCATTACAGTAGCAGCAATAATATTGTAATACTCTAGATTCTGCTGCCAATTGTGAATATATTGGATGTATGCCATTCTAAGCAATGAGCAACAATTTTTAGAGTCCTTTTGAAAGAGCTGGTGTAACTTTGTGATGTTACTGTAAGAAGTTCTTTGCACTGTACACACTGTTAAAATAGCTAGATCATTTTGGGCTAACAGTTACAAATTCCTTTTGTGCCCTTATTACATTTTAATGGAATGTCAAAACTAAGTTTCTTTCTCTAGGCTGTAAAAGAAATATCTTGCTTATTTTTTTGTAATAGCTTTTATGACACATGTATTTTGAAAATACATCTTAAACTAGGTGCAGCTCTAATTTTATGCAAACTGAGTGTTTTGCTTAACTAGGTATGACTGCCTTACATGAAGAGCATAGTTTCATGGAAAAATTTCTGTGAAAGGAAGTGTTCAGGTTCCTACAGAAGAATTTCATGCTGATTTCTAACAAAGAATGTGCCTCTCTCTAATCTGTGTGTGTGTATATATAAAGAAAAAAAACAAACATAAAACCATGCTGGAGGTTTTTCTGATACATACCAATTTACATTTTATAGTAAGTGGTAGGTAATGGTTGAATATCTAAACTGGAAAAATTAAATGTCAACAATTTCAAGCAGAGTGAATCACTTTCCTATCTTTATGATTTTTCTGTAAAGACATGTATGAAGACTTCTATCTTGCAAATACATAATATTAAGAAGAATATTATACTCTTGAAGTCTGATTCAGAGTCTTTTGAAGCCACTGTTAGTCCCACGATTTGTAGTAGTGGCCACTGAACCAGAACAATATATTTAATAATGGATTATTTGCATTCATGTGCAGAGGTTCTGAGCTTTTGCTAGAAAAATGGTAACCTAATCTTTGAGTAAGGTGCTTTAAAACTGTATTACAAAACTCTGCCTTTAGTTAAGTGTTTTGCAAATAAAATTCCTTCAATTTGCCATAACAAGTAGTAGGAATACAGGAGGGGGTGCAAGATTTTTACTTGAACTGGACGAGTTTCCACAGTGCTTACGTGATAATTGGATTAGGTTCTGTGCTCTGGTCATGAGAATCAGTTCTGAGAAGATGATTTTGGTTTAAGTTTGAAGATAGTATTTTTACATATATTATAAAGTACAGTAGTAAAAGAATTTTTATATAGTCTTTTCTAAAATAATCACCATTGTTCCTGACACCTGTCAGTAAATCCCCATTATGATTTGTTGTTGCTCTTTCTTTCTTCAAAGCTGACTGAAATGTTGGTCATGAACCCAAGAAGCTTTTGTTTTAAGGGAACCATCCGGACTGGTGTGGTTTTTCCGTCCATTGAAATGCCAGTCTATCTGCAAGTTCTCTGTAGTACAAGAAATGGTTATTATCACCTGTCAGCAAGGCAAGGGCTGAACTATTATTTTTCTTGTGTTTGTTTTTTAAGCAACTTTTCTAATTCAGTATTTCAGCTCCTTTGGTTAAGCCTCTCAATTCTCACATGCCATTTCGAAGGAGGAGAAGAAGGCTTTGCTACTTTGTTCACAGATTGCAAGTGCTAGTGGAAGGATGAAGGTGGAGAAACTGATTTGGGCATTTATCATTTTTTTACACTTTAGTACAACTCCTTCAGAATTTTTTGTTCGTTTGTTTTTGGATAGTAGCCAGGAAACCTTAGATCAGCTTCCAGCCAGCCCACAAATTTTATGTTGCTTACTGAAAAAAACAAGCATTAATTTCAGAAGTTCAGAATAATGAACCAAACTGTTACAGTTATCTTGAACATATAATTCAGCAGATGGATTTTTTTTTTCCTCTCATTTTCAACTAGAATGACATTATATTTGTCTGTTTCAATGGGATGAGATCATCAAATACTGCCTGTATTCCAGTCTTCAAAAGAAAAGGTCAACAAATGTATTTCTTATTGACACTTTTTAATTAATGCATTGCTGTAGAGAGAAGTCTGTGTATTCCTAACTCGATTTAACTATAGTGTGTAATGTTTCAATATAGTATTATCAATATAGATATGTTTTCTATCTAAATGTACAAATATAAATGTGTGTTTAAGTGTCATATCCTTTTTCTTTTCAAGTTTTGACTTTTAGTCATTGCATGTAGAAATACTCAGCACCACTATAAGCTTTCTGGGAAAGGGTGATAGTAGGTAGTAGGAAAACTGTTGCATAAACATCAAGCTGAAGTCCAGGATCAAACTGTAAAGGACCTTTAAATATTTAGTTGTAGCCAAATTTCAAGCAATAGTATTTCAAGGAAAACAGCTACAGCTTTACTAGTGGAGAACAGGAATATATCTGTTTGAACCAGTTTTTTCTTTATCTCTTAAGTCCATGTCTTGCGGCAGATGACTGAATCTTATATAAACTAGGGGAGTGAGGGCTGGTATGCTGTATCCATCCTACTATTACTCTTTCTACAAAGCCTCAGAGCATTCCTTGCTACTGCACTGTAATGGCTTTATGCTAGAGGAGAGGCAGAAGATGTGATACCATCTCAAAAAGACACACAACCCACTATTTACAAAGAAAATCTGTACATCCCAAAGTGCTTTCCCCCCAAATCTGTAAGTCCTAAACCCTTTTAGTTAATAACCCCTTTATAGTTTGCAATGGAGAGCTGCTTTTCCTGACTCATCTTAGTGGGTTTCACACAGGGATGCTGCTGTAGTTGTTCTCCTTCATCTTAGGAGCAGCTGATCCTCAGTGTGCTCCAGTTCTCGCTGATGAGGTTACTGGGGTTCTTCAGCTCCTTGCTCACTCAGTCTGTGTTCACTGCGACTGGCCTTTAATCGTGTAGCCTAAGGCTACGTTTTGTTTGTCCAAGGAATAGCGCACACATTCCCAGAGTCACTCCTTCTGTTTCGCTTGTGGTATACAGACATGTGAATGTTCTATAATTAGAAAAACATGGCTTTTAAAAGCTTATGCTGTTTAGGGATACTATTTCCATTGCTTCCTCCAGGTTTTACAAGATGCTCTTACAGTAAAGTAACAAGTGCCATAAATGTAACCAGACAGGTGAACAGAAGAGCATGTACAAGCTACAGAAATTTATTTCAGTTAAGTACCAGAAAGCATCTTCAAAATATGATTCAGAAAAATAGAAAATGTTACTACTCTAAATACTGAAAAATCAGCTATATCGGTGACTGCTCTCTCTTTGTATGGTGATTTAGTTTGTTAGTGTTTCCTGATATAAAAATTCTGAGCAGGTTGGTATGGCTCAGCACTCCCAGATTTGTATGTTACAGTAAAAGTATATAATTCAAGGCCTTTTCAAAACATGTCTCCCTACTGATTTTAACAGGTTTTGCATCAGACCTTAATGAAATAATAAATTACTGTAGAAAATCTCTATAAAGAATATTGGTCATGATTGTATTGTATAAAGGAAACAGGTTCAGTGGCATTTGCAGTTTTTAGTTGTAGTGTTTGCTTTTCTGGAACAGCTTTTGGTATTGAATGAATATATTAATAGTTCTATGAGATGGTTTTAGAAATTTTATTTGATTACAGTACAATATTCTTCATTAGACTAGGAAAAAGATAATGTGGTCTCGAAGAGGGGGTGTAATATGTTTTAATAGCTTTTTCATGTTCTTTGGATTCAGTATTATCTTTCTATAGTTTGTTCCCTTCTATTGAAGGAAGGGTAGGGATTTTGGCTGTGTGAATCTATTGATGGGCACATATGTATATGGTTTTAGTTGATTCCTTTTTGTGTTAGGTTCTCACGTGTCATTTGGGGCTTTTGTACTGAATGCACTTCATCGTACATGTTTTGCCCCTCATGCGTTCCACTTGTAGAGCATTATGTTTGTATAATGTTGTGGTAATGTCATGATACAATGTAAATACAGACCAGATGAGTAACGCATGAGAAAGGAGTTTTATAGCATCATGTAAATGCTTTATCTGCTTAGCCTCAGAAACGGTGCATATGGCTTCCAGTACATTGTATATATTCTTAATGCACTTTTTTTTATTCCAGTGGGCAAATCTTGTAGCTCAAACCATGGGTAAAACTATTTTTCCTGAGAATGTCAAGAAAAACATATTCCATATCTCTTGCTCAGAGGAGGGGGATGATCAGAATGAAGAGACTTCCCTTCTTGTACAGGGCCATGTCCTTCTGTTCCTTTAATTATTGACTATTTCTTTTAGCAAAGAGTGTTGTATTATTAACCACAAATTCTCTTTGAGTTTTTGATTCCTAACAAGGTTTTCTACATACATGGAAGCCTTAAATGTCTGACTTTTTAGTGTTATGAGTGATATATCTAGTTGAAAATGGTTTATGGTTTAGCAGACAATAGCAGAGATTTATGTACATTCTTATGATCTGTAGTTTTTTAAAATCACTGTTATTCATTAAGACTTACCTCAATGACACATTGCAGCTAAAATTCCACAGAAATGTGTTCATAAACTTTGTATTGCAACTCAAAAATAAGTTTTCGTCCTTGTATAACGTGTGAGAGTTGCTGTGACATGTCTATATGTGTCCTCCAGGCTGCGGTTGTGCTACCTGAGGAGAATTTAGCATGCACAGCAGCTTATCAACCACCCACAGTAACTCTCAACTCAAATTTGCCAGCTCAGTTCGTATAATCAGTTAAAATTACTGATTTGTGTTAGCAAAGATTTAGTATTTAGAATTAATCATTATAATTTTCATTGAAATCAGTTTGTCAGGGATTAGAGGAGCTTCTCTCCCAAGCAGGGAAAGTATAGGAATGGTGACAGTTGGAGACAGTTGTTGGAAATGTGAGACCTGGTTA